TATTTTCTTTTGTATCACTATATATTTTATTGTAATCTTACAAAATCTAACATAGTACCTGTGTAGCTATGAAATCAAATGGAAAAGAATAATGGCAACTAAATTCCTACACAATTACTTAACAATATATGCACACTCTCAAAAAAAGATCATACAAAAATATTGTCCACATACATTTTGGACTTAACCTTCTTTACAACATCATATTCTTTTTTCCAATAAACTTAAAAAGTTTTCTGGCAAATTTAATTTATTCATTTAAAGCTACTCCTTTTAAATTCTAATTTTTTCCCTTGGAATTCTGAAAGCTTTATCTGATCCAAATTTTGTAATGATCTGAGAGGTTGAAGTTTTTAGACATCCAAAGTCTCTATCTTTGCATCAATAGCCAATAGCTATACTATATTCCCTATCAAAAACATGAGAACACATGAACAAGTTAAATTATGCAACAAAATTACCCCCCAAACTTAGAAACCATTGCATATCTTGGATCCAACTAAATGGATTTATCCAATCAAACAGAACCTGTTCACTGACTATTCCCCCTAAATGTACATATGATGCTATGTTAGCCCAATGAAATTTCTCAGTACAGATTGTGGGTCATTGTACTAGCAATGACCAACTCCTTGAAGGTAGATATGATACGCGCGTAAAGGCTGTCTTCTTGCGGCACTTTTCTTGGCCTCAACCATGGAATGGTCTCGCAAGCCACATCCTCCTCATAGTCTGGTTTGTCAAGAAATGCTGAAAAAGAGAAAGCAGAATATTTTAGTAATTCCCTCTCTACTGAAGACATTTCATACAAAAAAAAATGTAAGGGGTTCTTAATTCCACAATCATTTTCCACTTCACTCATTTCCCAAGAGTTATATATATTATAATTTCTACCTGCAAGAAATATGTATATATTCAAACCCATGCCTGATAGTTACAAATAAAAAAAAGCAATTATTCCTTTACCTATTGAATGTGGTGATGGTGCAGTAGACAGGGCAGAATGTGCTGCACCAACCCGTCCGTACATCACCAGTAAGTGGAGCAAATCATCGATGAGGGAGGGGAAGGCTCGGCCAATACGCACCAAAGATGGCAACGAGGCTTCCATGATGGATAGTCTTTCTTCCTCTCCCAGAACTGTTAACATTTTGGGATTTTAGAATTGTTTCAGCTCCTCTTTCAAGATAAAATCAAAATGCATAAATCTATTTCTTTAACTAATATTTTGAACACTTGGTCTAAAATTGTAACATCAGGAGAAGGATAACATTTCTGATTGGATAGAAGCTGAATTCAACAGTCATTTAGATTACTGCTTGTTATAGATACCTCATCAACACCATTTATTGTACAGTGAAGCTTTGGTTTATCTGAACTGTTTAATGGTATATTAAAAAGACACTGATAATACATCTTTACTGTTTTCTACGCATTTCATATCCCATAAATCTTGGCACTACTCTTACCTGACAGAAGAGTAGCTAAAGTATTGATTGCCAGCCTAGAAATACTCAGGGTTGAAGGCATGGCATTCTGGAGGGCCAAGTGGGATGTAAGCTCTACGGCAAACATTTGCTTGTCCAAGTCTGGCAGCTGAAGAAGCTCTGGGATCCAATTGAGGCCAATTGCAATGTGCATGGAGGGAACACCACGCACAACTGGGCCTATGAGTTCTCCAGGGTAACCCTAAAGACAAAGTGTTTAAGAAGTGTACTTGTTAAAGTGTTTGTTTGTTTGTTTTCTGAGGAATACTTCATTAATTACAGCTCCAGAGATATAAAAGTAAAAAAATTCTTCACACAAATTTAAATGAGACATCCTCCACAATCTTCATCAAAACTCTAAAAAAAATAAGTCAAACCACGGAAACTGCATCAACGTGAATAGAAAGAATACAGCTTTCAACATACCTGAAAGTGCACTAATTTAGCCAGTGTAGTGTCCTTAAGAAACGCTTGATGGATGAAAGAACACGCAACACTTCTTATTTCTTGGAGAGTCAGAGCTCCAGCACCATCCTGGAAAATAGAAGGGAGAAATTTAGACACAGATAACCACTGGTATGAATAACATTTCTTGCAACGACAACTACTCCGATTTAAGTTTTTATCATCATGCAGCATAATAATTCAAAAAATAATTATAAAAATCAAAGCAGTAAGCAAAGGAATTGTATTCTAATCTAAAATTCTATGCAAATAAAGCACTTGTACTGTCTAACACTGAATAAAAGAACAGCAAGCTATGGCAAAAATGGTAGGGAGCTTTGTCATTCAATAGCAAGCATGTCTAGCTTTCATATAGCAGAGATAAAACAAACAGTCTGCCGTGCATTTATGATATACTGAAACCATTTCCTATACAATTACCATTATATGATTGGCATTCCATTCTATTCTACAGAGTAGCTATGTGCAAAACATGCCTTTTCTAATACAGCAGACAATCCAAAACACAAGCAAGAGATAGGGATAGTCAAGAAGTTGCACAAACTCATTTTTTCAAAACAAAGAACAGAAGTGAAGTTACACATACTCCTTAGTCCTTGTACTCCTTCCATGGCAACACAATACAACTGGGGATGTAATAAAACCCTTCACCATAATCAACAACTTTAAAAATTCAATCACTTACTGTAAGGGTGCCCACCTTCTCATCACTGTTCATGAGACAGGCCTCCAGCAGGATTTGTACCGCAGCACTTTCCTGTGTGAGCACGAGAGCTCCCCGGAGCTTTTCCCTCTCCTCCTCAAGAGCCTGTGGTGGGGTGGTGGTATTTCCCCCCACAGGAGTGTGTGGAGTGTTCACTAGGGGTGTGTTTTGCATTTGCTGAGAGAGGAATGTACGGGAAGACAGGAGATACACCTGAAGCATGTATATAACCAACTGCAGGAGAGGGGCACACCTGTTGACATAAATAAGATTTTTAAAAATGCATTAGCAATTTTTTTGACAAAGAAGGAAAATAATTAACAGATATATTCATAAAAGATATGATGACTTTGAACAAGAAAACCTTGTTTCTTTGCACACAAAATATTAAGAAAATACCGTTTGGTATGATAAAAAATTAAACTCACCTATTAACTCTCGGATCACATCGAAGCACATACAGAGGATCCAGAATGATGTCATCCTCTGTAAGTGCCTTTCTCAACTTGCTCTGAGGCTGCTCCGGCTGTAGTCCCTCAACGGACATGGCCCAGAGACGACGAGGAAAGAGTGAGTTTAGCCTCATCCAAACTTGCCGGTACGTGTCTGAAATAGGTATCATTTTTGTTACAACAAATAATAGACGGAAATGGAGATGAAAAATTAATTTCCATGGATAATGCAAATAGATAAATAATCTTTTAAATGTACATATAAAGACTGATAATACTTCAAAGCAATAAATTTTTTCAATCTGAACATAGGAAATGAACACATGCAGCTTCTGCAAAATATAAAAGAACTATAATCATGCAGTAAAATCTTTATGAATAAGCATAAGAAATTAAATTTAAAGTAAGTCATTGACCAACCTAGGACTTTCCGAGGCACTCCAGGTTGCAAGAGGCACTTAATAGAGGCAGTGATAGGGGCAGCCAGAGGCCACACTTGGTGAGGAGGCATGCGCATCAGACGGTCCAACACGATGAGGAGCCTTCCAGGTTTGTCGGCAGCGTCTTCCATGGCTGTAGACATATTTGTGTAATGTATTATACTTCTCTCTGACATGGGAGTACAGTTTAATAAAACATATTTGGTAAATCAGACACATTACTAAGAAGGACACAGAAAGAGAGAGAGAGGAGAGGAAAAGAAAAAAAAAAGGAAGAAAGAAAGAAAGAGATAAAATCATACATACACAAACACATTCATGAAGAAAAGGAAAAAACATCAATTCATCTTCCCACTGAAACAGCAAATAATACATCACCTTTCGTTACAGACTGAGGATCAAGAGGCACTGGAGGTGGCAAGATCCCCAGGCTGGAGTTAGCTGATGGACTCTGATAAAGCCAGTCTTCCACCAGGCACAGCTGAGGATAATGGCTCACAAGCAGTTTCACCAAAGGCGAGAACAGACCTGAGGAATGGGAAATGCAGGAGTGAGAATAAATTTATAGTGTGATGAGTATTTCCAGGGTAAATGTTTGATGTCATTACACATTACCATATTTCTGTTTCTGAAGAATTATTTACATTATGATTTTATTTTCAATTTATGAGCTTCACTTTCATCTATGTAAATATATGTTTCTGAAATCAAAACTTGAACATAACAATGACCATGTTAACATAATCTTAAAGTAAAACCAGAAATAATAATATACATAAACAAACCTGCATATAGCCTCTGTTCCTTCTGAGCATGTGAAAGCAGGTATCTTATGGGTAACTGAGCAAACAGATGCGGAGAGTAAGAATGGATACGCCGACTGTTTGCCAGTAGCTGGAGTGTATTGTTCAGCCGTACATCCTCATACAGCAGCAAGTAATACAACAGCAGCAACTGTGATGTCATCACTGATGTCACATTTACACTGCAAAGCATTGTACATTTTCATCAGCATCTTTATCCATAGTCAAGTAGATAATCTCTCACTAGAATGTTTTTCTTAACTCTAATCTTCTGGATCTCATCTACTTTAAGGACTATATATAAAACTAATAGCAAAGCAAAAACTACAACCAAAATTTCCCAAATCAAATAACTATGCAACACAATCTAAGCCAGTGTTCTCCAAACATTTTTGCCTATTGTACCCTTCATTACCTTCTATTGTTATGTACCCCCCCCCCTTTCACAATGGCTAAACAAACTGTTTTACTTTGGATAATGCAAATAATATACTGATTATGAAAAGACTGCATTGCAGGAGTGTTGGTAAAAAAATCAAATTTAATACATAAATAAGAAAGATGATTTAATAAAATGCTTGAAAAATACTTAAACAACTTAATGTGAAATGTGAGGCGTGTGTGTTCCTTGTTTGTTCAAGCACCATTACGATCTATGTTGCATACCCCCAGGGGTATGCGGACCCCAGTTTGGACAACACTGATCTAAGCCAGTTTTTCTACTGCCATACAACAGTTGAAAAATTTACACACCTTAATTCCAACACAAAATAACACCAAATATCAAGGTACTATCATATAAGACTATCATTGTTTAATTTGCTGACCTTATGGACTTCCCATCAGTGAAGAAGTACTGGAAGTGTTACTTACACATAATCTGCATCATTATGCTGTATCTCAATAAAATGAACATTAAATATACCTTAGAATGGAAACAAGTCTTTAACAGGCCGTGTCCATTAACACACTGTTGCCAAGTAACCACACGATATGATCTCACCTGATTTCTCTTTTCCTTGATATTCATGGATTTTTTTTCCTTTCTTTCTTTCTTTTTGTAAAGCTATTAATATCAATGTAATTATTATTATTATTGACAATATGATTATTATAATGTTAGTAACACTATTAATAGTCTTAAATTTTTTTAAAAAGGATCTCCGAAAATCCAGGAAGATTAAACAGGTGAGATAGGTAGGACTAGTAATTTGAAGTACTTGTAGAGCCATCTATATGTAAAGACAACTGATAAACAAAAAAAACACAATGACCTTGCTATGTATTTTTACCATCCCAGCATCATGGGTTAACGTAGCAATTTGAAAAAATGGAGACTTCAATAATAATCAAGGCTACGTCTATCTTTGACAAATTATATTTCCCAAAACAATTCTTACTAGATCCTTGTTCCAATACTGATGGGTAAAATCTTGGGTAAAATTGGAAATATCTAAGTATGCATGAGACCTCATCCTGGCAATCAGGACATAGCTTTGCAATGTGAAAAGACAAGACCTATTATCTGCAATTTGATATCACACCATCACATATCACATCACCCACTACCAGTGGGTTAACATACAGACAAACAGTAATATTCAAAAATCTATTACAGCCACACTCACCCATTACAAGAGGTATTGGAAATCCGGTGATGTGTCCTGACGGAAGGTGAAGGCATAATGTGACCAGCTGAGGCACCTGACATAAATGGAGACTTTTCCCGAAGCAGTGATTTTCTTCTGCTGAGATTTCGGAAGGGTGCAGAGGCATGTAAAGTTGTTGGCTTTGAGCTCTGCTATGGGAGGAACACATGTTAAAACTGAGGACATCAGCCAAGTCCAAAAAAAAGGTAATCTGTAATATATCTCCTAAGGTTATAAAGACATGATGATGGGAAATAAGATGACAGAATCAACATTTTCAGTCAAACATTACTTTCAAAATAATATAAATAATCATAATAAAAAAGTCACTTATATTCATATAACTATTCACCTTGGTATGATCAAGATTTACCCACTGTTTAATTTCATTAAGCTATAACTATAACATATCCAAATACCATATACATCTACATTAGTTATCCAACCAAAAAGAGTATCTATTCATACATACATTCACTACTGAAGAAGCTTTTTCAGTAAATATTGATTGCGAAAAAACAGACATAATTTCTTCCTCCGATATTGGCTCGTTAAAGGTATCAGAAAGGCCTCCTTTGCTAGCAGGTAAGATAATGGAATTGACATACACCTCTATTAACTGTGGCATTACTGGATGAAGTGGTGTTACAGATGCACAAATTTGACTGCAAAGGAGAAAAAAGTCATGAATATATTTTTAAGTTACTTGAATTTCACATTCTTAAAAAGTAAACAAGTAAAATAATGATTGCATAACTAGCAAGGATGTGTGTGTGTGTGTGTGTGTTTGTGTTCGTGTTTGTGTGCATGTGTGTGTGCCTGTGCCTCTGCATGTGCATGTGTGCGTGCGAGCATGTGTGAGCATGTGCGAGCGTGTGTGACTGTATCTGTGTGTGTGCACGTGTGTGCGTGCAAGTCAGTGTGAGTGCATGTGAGTGTGAGTGTAAGTGAGAGTGTGTGTGTGAGTGTGAGTGTGAGTGTGAGCAGAGTGTGAGTGTGAGTGTGAGTGTGAGTGTGAGTGTGAGTGTGAGTGTGAGTGTGAGTGTGAGTGTGAGCGTGAGCGTGAGCGTGAGCATGAGTGTGTGTGCGTGTGCATGCGATAATATTTTTATGTAACAGGTAAATAAACTGAAAGAGAAAGATAAAAGTATTGCAAATTATAAATGATGGATACATTTTGGTAATTAATGATAAGACTCTTATATACTATAATATGTGGTACTACAAAAAAAAAGTATTGACAATCAACAGCTGAAACTTTTAGAGTTAGATGTTCATTTCAGTTATCCTTCCTATGTGTGCATAAATCTTCTGCATCAGGACATTATTCACTGTTACCAATAATCCACAATATTTGTTAGATCCATACATACTTATAGCTTGAAGTTATGTTTATCAAAGGCTGCACTCAGTTTTCTAAATACTCCTTTTGTCAAGCAAATGTGACAAATATAATATTACAAAACCCACCCTACTACCCACTTATTCACTAAACATTTCTTAGATAATTTACATCCTGCAAATATCATGGAGAGTCATTCATTCTTCTACATCCTGTGAATTCCATGGACAGTCATTCATTCCTTGATAAGCTAAACACTTTCCCAAATTTTGAGGTAAATCTATCCAGCAGTACGCTATTTTGTTCTGCGAAATTCGGTTTGAGATATAGCCATTGTAGGTACATGGATACAGAAGCACGTGGCAGAAAGAAGGGCAGGATATCCCCGTTAACCCACAAGCGCCAGTATATTTTGAAGACGAAAATAACAGTTTCCGGGCTGGCAAGGCCCGCGAAGGAATTGGAGCGCAAGCCCGATCCATCGTCACACCGGGTGTCTCCTATGTGGGACACCCATCGTAAATGGGTTAAGTGACAGTCTATATTCAATAATGACACTCTCTTCCCTCCCTAGATTTCAGGCAATAAGCGTTACATTTCACCAGTGAAGAACACTTGAAAATTAGGTCTAAACCAAGCACAACTGGGCCTCCGAATTATGGGTAAAGGTTGTCCCCTTAGTACATTGTTGCCTTTATTCCACAGATATCCCAAAGATATTTTTAAAAGTTTGATCATTTTAGCCCATAGGTTTCAAGTAGCACCTTAAGAAATAGTACAATACTTTCACCTTTTTCACATTTTACATGATCAACTAACAATACAAAGAAACAAGATCAGATTCATTAGATTTACTCACTTGTATATCCAATCTTTGATGGGGACTTTATGTTTGGTGAACATTCTGCTCTTGAGTTGATGATACACACAATGAACAGGAAGAAATCCAGGGATATTTGCATTTAACCCTGATGTCACTGGTACTTTGACTGCATGAGCCGTTACAACCTGCAGAAAAGAGCAAAATCATCAGAAGAAATG